TGATGATTTATTTATAAGATATACTATACCACAATAAAATAAAATAGAGGTCAGAAGTGGTTAGAATGACATATTTAAATTACTGAAAACAAAAGTGTCATAAAAACAAAGACAGAGAAATTTTGCCTGGCAGGTCTGCATTACAATAAATGCTAAAGGAAATCCTTCAAACTAAAGAAAATAATACCAGCTGGTAACTTAAGTAGATTTTAAGAACTAATGTTCATGATAAAGTAAAATGAAAAACAGTGCCCACACATACTTGAAATCCATGCATTGTCTTTTTGTAGTACACAATTTTCCATGAATTGTTTGAGGACCTCTCATATGCATCACTTTAAAAAAATTGCACCAAAATGAACTCATCTATTTGCTCCAATTTCCACAAACTTTTTAAAGTACCTTAATATAACATATACCAAAAGCATCATTGACTGTATACTTCAGGCTGGAGAGTTTTATGGTACAAAGAAAACCTTAGTAAATCTGGTAAAAAATATATCAGGGGCAAGTTTCTGCCTGGTACTTCCTTATACTATCATAAAAATAAATATTTTATCTAGAGTTCTAGTTACTTATTGGTCCTAAGGGAACTACAAAAAGAATGTATGCAAATTATTCTCCTCCATAACAACCTATACTTGCTTTAATTGGTTTCAGTGAAATAGAGCCAAAACATATAAAGTCAAAGTTGGGTCATGCATGGACAGTGAAAAACTTCAGCAATGTCTGGCTATGGAGTAGGAAAATGTGGAGAATGCAAGTACAATAAGAATCCTACCAGGTATCCAGTGCAATCACAGGAGGACTTAACGTTGCCCTAATTGGAGGCTGGGCATCAGGATGGTCAGCTTTGTTTCTGATTGACCTTAGCGGAAGGTTACTCCACAGCAGTGTGTTAAACATTTCCCCAAGATAACGCACTGTGCATCACCAGAAAAAAATAGTTTCATAGCATGAAATGTTGGAATGTGGTTTTGCTCTCAAGCAGATGTTTGTTAATAGAATTTAGGCAGAAAATAAACTGGAATTTCTACAAAACCACACATAGCCAAACCATTAGATAGAATTGCATTTTTGGAGTACTGTAGAGTATTAATTCTATTATATGTTTATATCACATGCATCAGGGCAAGATAAGTAAAGTAAATATAATGTCATCAGGAAGTATCTGAGTTAAGCTGCACATGTCAACAGACATGAATATATATCAAAACCACAGAGACGTCTTGACTCAAAGTCATGAAAAAAACGTTTCCAAAATTCTTGCGCTATTACTCATCTTCAAAAGGATGTGAGTTGAAAAATAAGGGAGAATAACTTTAAAGTTTTACAATAAATGCCATATTTGCTTTAAATAGATTCATCTTGAGAATTAAACATTGGTTCAAAGAAGCAGATCATCATGGTCTTTTCTGGTTCCAGGATAAACAAGAATGTGTTGCAAAGAATATAAAGAAGAGACTGTTCTATTGATGGTTTCTCTGTTACCTAACGATGTCTTATTAATGACTTGGGTATAACACAATGTAATTTTTTGTCTATAATCTAGACATTGAGCTTCTTGTGCATTCATTCTTTTTTTTCACTTAGTTTATTAGTTTTATTTATTTATTTACATTTTTATTTTTAGAAAGAGAGAGTGACAGCAAGAGAGTCCTTCCATCCTCTGGTTCACTCCCTAAATGGCTGAAACATCAAGTGCTGGGTTAGACCAAAGCCAGCAGTCAGAAGCTTCATCTGGGTCTCCATGTCGTTGCAGGGGCCCAAGCATTTGGACCATCATCTGCTGCTTCTCCCAGGTGCATAAGCAAGGAGCTGTATTGGAAGTGGAGCATCCGGGACTCAAACCAGCACCCACATGGGATACTGGTGCCACAGGCAACAGTTCAACACACTGTGTCACAGTGCTGGCCCCTCATTCTATATTTTTACGAAATGACACTAGATTGAGAGGGATCTAAGTTTACGAATTCAAGCGTTTATTCTTTGGTATGGTTTTTTTCTTTGTTCACCCTGCTCTTCTCTCTTCTAACCTCTCTAACTTCCCAGTTCCACTGTTTGGTGGAGAAAAGCACCCAATACTGAGAACAGAAAAGTAGACAAAGGTATCGAGGTGGTCTTGACTCTGGTAGCCACCTGATGTATTTTTCCTTTGCTACTTATTTTTTCTTTTATGGTAAGAATTAATCCCCTGCATAGTCATCACTGATTCTATATTGCCAAAATACATAGCAAATGTGTTCTGATAGGTGCTCTACATTCCTTATTGTCTGCAAGGTTAAGGGGGCTATAAAACAGCATAAACAAATCCTATTTCCTCTAGTTACAACAACACCTCCACTCACTGGCAGGTGAATTGGACTGCTTGCTGACTCCTGCACATGCCTTGAGGACAGCCACCCCCTGAAAGGGCTCATCTCTCAGCTGCTGGATAATGAGTCAGGAGCTTGGGGGTGGAGAGGTGCCTGAAACAACACAGCTGCATTGTCCTTAGATATCCATTCCAAATTTTTTCTCACCTCTACTCCAGTGTGGGTCTTATATTGAAAAGCTGGTAGTTAACCCACAGATGCAAGAAGTGCAATAAATCTCAAGTAAGATAGGATAAAAAGAAAAGATCATTATGCAGATTTCTGAAAATTAGTGATAAGAAGAAAATCTAAAAGTAGCCATGAGGTGATAATGAGGATGGAGGATCAAGTTAGCCACAGATGGTGTCCCCTGGTCCCAAACCTACCATATTCAGACATTGATGCCCTAACAACCAGTACCTCAGAGTATTACTGTGTTTGGAAATAGGGTTTTTAAAGAGGTAATTACAATTGCATGAGATCACGTGGGGGGCTCTAATGCAATCTGATAGCATACACATCAGAAGAGGAAATTTGGAAGTGAAGAGATATCAGAGAAATGCATACATACAGTAAAGGCCGTGAGAGGACACAGAGAGAAGATGCCTGACTACAGATGCAAGAGATAAGCCTCAAAGGAAACTCCCTGCCAACACCTTCTTCAAGGATTTCCAGCCTCCGGAACTGTGAGAGAACAAATTTCTGTTATTTAAGCTCCCAGACTGTGGTATTTTGTAATGGAAGCCCTTGAAAACTAACATACACATGATGAGCCGAGAAATCAACTCTTCATGTCTTTAAAATACAGAAGGAGATGTCTCAAAGGCTCCGTCGCTATTAATAGCAGAGGGCATTATGAGAGCATGGAAAAAGATGGAAATAAATCACTGGTGGTTTTCTTTAATATCATACAGAGGAGAATCTTGCAATAAGTGTAACTTACCCCACATTTTCTGAAGAATGATCCTAACATCGGTGCTATAGGATGCTAATAGTTTTTCCTTGGAAAATAAAGGAGCTTTAGGAAATATTACAATATACTGTGAACCAAATACTTATTTTATTTGAAAAACAGAGATAGTGAAAGACAAGTACAGACAGACAAACACACATACACACACAGCAAGAGAGATAGATAGAGATAAAGATAGAGATAGAACTAGAGAGAGAGTGAGAGAGAGAGAGAGAGAGAGAGGTAAAGCTGAGGAGAACTAATTTCCATCTGCTTGTTCACTCCCCAAATGCCAGAGCTAAAGTAAGAGCCTGGAATTGATTTCAGATTCGCCCATATCAATGTCAGGGACCCAAGTACTTAGGCCATCAACACCACCTCTGAGAGTGTGTATGTGCAGGAAACTTGAGTTGGGGGCTGGGGCTGGTCTAGAATCCACGCACTCTGACATGGGTTGTGGGTGTCCCAAGTAACTTCTTAACCACTGCACCAAGTGCTTACAAAAAATAGTTTTTGTATCTACTAAACAGCACAAGGTAATATGAAATTAAATTTGACTGAATAACCTGAAAGCAAACAATGTTATTCACCTAAATGGAGCTTGTTAAATATTTATTGGTAATATTGGGAAACTTCCTAGGCATGTTTGGATAAACTAATCTAATCAAAAGATCAAATGACCCCAAATTAAATATATGAACTATCATGAGAAATCCTTTAGTGATTCTCTCTAGAGGTTTGCTTAATTGTGACCATGGGAATTTAGTATGGGGGAGACAAGAAAAGTGCTTCTACTTTAATTAGACCTCTATGTATAATTACATGTGCTTTGAATCACATTTTAAAACAAGAGAAAACCACTTGCAGAGTGGCCCTGTTCTCTCAATCTGATCTTTTGAAGAAATATCAAACTTTTACTGGGGAGTTCTTTGCTGACCACTTCATGACTAGATTCACAGAATGCACACAGTGGCTTTGCGGCTAATGGAGACTTAGAATGCATATAGAAATTCCTTCTAGAAGCAAGCCCAACTGCCTGCTAGTTAGCAATCTACTGTGTCTCCATGTGGGAAGAACAGCCAGTTGTGTTTCCATTTTCTTCAATTATTATTTGATGAAGTATTCCTAAAGATCTGTGTTAAGTCTAAATTCTATGGATTTTGCTTTGCTGTGTTTGTTGATCAGTCCTCTTGAGTTTAATGTGCTAGAATCCACTGTGATTTTCATAACTCAGAAGACTCCATGCTGGCACAGAATGGCATTTGTTTGCTCAAAGTAAACCTGCATTTTCTTGGGAGAGAATACAGTACAGATGATAGGAGGTTTTATTTTGTTTTTGTTTTTGTTTTGGTTCCATTGGCTTCCAAGAAATGATTCAGACTAACATTTATTTTCTAAAACAAACAAAATGTAAATAGTTTTATATGAGTTTTAGTTTCAGAAAGGTTATACTCTCCAAGTCAGTTATTTAAATATGAATCAAAGTAAATCCCTTTAAGATTAGTCTAAAGTTAAATGCTTGACTTAATAAATAGATTTATGAACAGACTTATTCCTTAGGAAAATAAACGGCTGGCAGAGGAGCAGAGGAGTGGGAAGGAGTTAAAATAAATTATCAAAAAAGTCCACCTTAAAAAAGCATAGAATGCCAGAACTCACAGTTTCCATGGATACTTGGTTTTCAGATAAATGGACTGATAACAAGATAGTTCAAGTGATTTGCCAAAGACCAAGTGAGTAGATTCTGTGGGATTATATGTGAGCCTGAACAGTTTGTGTGCCAAACAAACACCATTGTATAAATAGTTTCATTTGAAGTCTAGCCTGACCTTTATGAGGTCGACTGGTCAACTTTGTCAATAGCTCACTCCTCAAGTGCAGGAAACCCCTGCTGATGCCAATGCCAATGCCAGCACCGGTAATTTAGTTATAAATGGTCACCCAAGCCAAGAGCATGTTCTCTCAATGAAATAGCTAACTTCAGAATGGCCTCTGTATGTTACTCTTGGGGATTTTCCTGTTCTGTGCACTACACAGCCTTCTGCTACTAAATCTCTGCAAGCCTCAATTTCTTTGTTTGTAAAATGGGAAACATAAAAATAGAACTTGCGCCCATAGGGCTGCTTTTAAAATGAATTATGGGGAGTGAGGGGACAAGGGAGGGAGATTTTGCACAGCAGTTAAGATGTTGTTTGAGATGGACATATTTCACATTAGATTGCCTGGGATTGCATCCTGGTTCCATTTGCAATCCAGCTTCCTGCTGATGTCTACCCTGTGAGGTAGCAGGTGATGATGGCTCAAGAGATTCAGGCTCTGCCACACACATGAGAGAATCAGAATGGAGTTTGAGCTCCTAGTTTCAGCCTAGCTCATGCCTGTTCTTGGCAGGCATTTGGAGATTGAAACAGTAGATGGGAGATCGCTCTGTCTCTCTGTCTATCTGTTTGTCTAACTCTTAGCCTTTAAAAGATAAAATAAAACAAAATAAAATGAATTATGACTATTTAAAAATCATTTATTATTTATTTAAAAGTCAGAAAGAGAAAGAGAGGAGAAAGATAGAACTTCTATTTGCTGGTTCACTCCCCAAATACCCACAGCAGCTAGTATTGGGCCAGGCAGAAGTGGGAACCAAGAACTACTTGGATGACAGGTGCCCAAGTACTTAGGTTGTCATCCACTGCTTTCCCAGGTCCATTAGCAGGATTTTGGATCAGAAGCAGAGTTGCCAGGTCTCTAACCAGGCACTCCAACATGGGATGCCAGCATCAAAAGCAGCAGCTTTATCTGTTGTGCAGCCTCAAATCATGATCTTATTACAGGTGAAGCATTTGACATGTTGCCTGATACATAATAACTTCTCAAAATGTTTGCTCTTAATTCTATTAATTATTTTAATTATAAAGCAATTTAATTATATTCAGAATCTCTCACTTATATACATTATTCACTTATATACATTATTTATACTTTTGTATCTGAGGAAAATAAGAAATAGTGGGCAATCAAGCATACAGAATTTTGTCATTTGCCTTTGTATGACAGTGTGTTTCTGCCTTCAATATCTATTTAATTGGACATGAACAGAAGGGCAGAAAAGAGAGAAAATTAACTTTTTATGAATATATTTTTTTGGAATCACAGCCTATAAAACATTAGAGTTGTATATCTTATTTCAAGTGGAGATTCTGTTAAATATCTATTTTTTTTTTCTAGAAGCAGCACTATTAGCGCATGTGTGAAAATCTAGTTACTATGGTGATGTGTTAGCTGTCATCTCTTTTCTTTATAAATTAATCCCAAAACATCTTTCTAAATTTCAACTTCTAATTATTTGACAAAATAATTATCCCAAATAATAAGATTAAAATTATGTAACTACCCAGTAGAACTCATTACACTTTTAAAATTGATGCTGTTATTGTAAATAACTCTCAACCTCTTGACCTTGTTCAATGTACTTGAACTTCAAACTGAAAAAGGAGAGAAAACATGGGACTCAAATTTGGTGTTGCATCTGTTAATTGTGAAATGCAGATGAAGTCTGGCCCAGGGAAGGGGTTGGGGGCAGAGGCAGGACATAGTGGTGCAGCAATTGAGCCTCTGGGTTGCAGGACCCCATAACTTGTGCCTGGTTCAAGTCCTGGTTACTTTGCTTCTAATCCAACTTTCTGCTAATACAGGAAGCAGATAATGGTTTAAGTACCTGGATTCCTGCTGCTCACGTGGGAGACCTAGAGTGAGTTCCAGGTTCTTAGCTTTGGCTTGGCCCAGGCTGTTTTACACATTTGAGGAGCAAACCAGTAAATGTACCATTTATCATTCTTTCTTTATCAATTTTTTTCAAATAAAAAAAATAAATAAATCTTTTTTAAAAATTTTATTTATTTATTTGAAAGAGTTACACAGAGAGAGAAGGAGAGGCAGAGAGATAGAGGTCTTCCATCCACTGGTTCACTCCTCAATTAGCCACAATGGCCCAGAGCTGCACAGATCCAAAGTCAGGAGCCAGGATCTTCTTCTGGGTCTCCCACGCGGGTGCAGGGGCTCCAGGACTTGGGCCATTTTCTATTGCTTTCTCAGGCCAAGGAGAGAGCTGGATTGGAAGTGGAGCAGCTGAGTCTTGAACCGGTTCCCATATGGGATACCAGCACTGCAGGCGGCAGCTTTACCCACTACACCACAGCATCGACCCCCTTAAAACTGTTGTACTGGGTGAGAGCAAAGCTAAAGTAGCCGTCATAGCCTATTAATTCAGTAACTACGTATTATAAAAGAACAGATACATCACTTTAATGAATGAGCCTCTATTTGCCTCCCCTCTACTAGGAACATTCCACCACCAATGCCTGAGTCCAGGTTTATGGCTGACAACACTACGAGTAGCAAGTGACCAGGGAGGAGGATAATCCTAGTGCAAGGAAGCAACAAAATAAAGCACTGAAAGAATGTAGAAGTCACAAAGACAGTGACCTTCATAAGCCGTGTGAAGTTTTATAATGCATGACGGCTTTTTTAGCAACAAGCAGAAGGCATGCCAAGAAACAGAGTGAGAAATCATGTGACTACAGAGAGATGGAAAGACTAGTTACTTCAGACCCCAATGGCTTCACTTTCATGAGCCTCAGTTGCGCTCCTCCCTCTGTTGCACTGTGACAACTCCTCTTCAACAAATTTCCTCCTTATCTGAATGGATCTCGGTTCCTCACCACCAAGGTAGTATCAATGTTACTACTCTGGGGCTACCCTTTGCAAGGTGATCTAATGGAGCCCCGCAGTGCAGGGTTATTTCAGAGACCCCATGGGTCTAGGTTGTTGGAACATTGATCCAAATGTTCTACCAGTGGCTTAAATTACAAAGTGTAATTGCTTGGAAATCATCAAAATTTGATGACATTTTCTTAGGGATTAACTCTTGGAGTGGAATCATAATACAGAACATAATCTAAAAACAATACCAATAAGACTATAAGATACTTTTGTTAGATAACAAAGTAATCCTAATGAAAGTAATTTCCAATTAGTTTAGGTGTTAAATAGCAAAAGCCAACTGTGAACTCATGAACTTCTATCACTCATACACTCCTGCAAACTGAATACAATATCCAATTACCATAAATGCTTAATAAATTTTGAGCATCATTCCTTTATAGTGCTGAGTTGAACATAAACATTCACGTCTTTTGCCGCATGCCTGCAGAGTAAAATCTAGGTAGGCACCATAAATGCAGGCTCAGATAACACACATGCAGGTAGCGTACCTCTTTAGACTCAGTGCCTTCATGTTGGCCACCTTCTAAGCGAGTTTCACAGAAGTGCTTGTGCCTGTTCAAAACACCATGATTTGAGCATCCCAACACCATGAGAAGAGCATCCAAGGCAATCCCAGTTCCTACTTACTCAATCTCGGTTATGGAGCTATGCTAGCATTTGGGAATAAAGCACTGTTTAAGGAAACAAAGGATGTGTGGGAAATACAGCAGCTGGTGTTGTTTGCAAAAGTGATTAATTTTTGCTACATAACAGGGTTGTTTGGGATCTTACAGTTAGAATATAGAGATCACATCTTGGCCAGATATAAATATTTATATTCTTAATCTTCTTCAGGGACCCTGAAGATGAGGAAAAGGAATGATTTTGCTAGTGACAAGTTATGCTTGCCATAAAAATTTTCTTTTAAAAGCACTTTTAAACTTTTTTTTTTCTTAACCACATTTGCCAAGTCCAGAGAAATCTCTAGCAGAAATTAAGTGTAAAAAGATTTTGGGCATCTGCAATGTTAGTTCCTGAAACTGGTATGTGGCACAGGACCAGATGTCTCAGAGTCTGTAGCTTTTTGCTTTCAGTGTTTACATGTAGGGTTTTTATTCCCCCTTTTCCTTGCCTTTCTTAGTTGAGATTAAGAAAATGATTTTGACTCTTTTTTGAAGAGTCAGGCCCTACTTTAGCCAGCAATAACATAAAACAAGGATATTATGATGCCCCAAGAAAAATTCTGTGAGAAGAAGAGAAAAGGCAATGCTTGGGGACTCACGTAAGACACAATGTGGCCTCTAACGTGCATTTGAGAAATGCCAAAAGGATAGGAGAGGACTGAGCAAAGGACTTCGACTACCATGAGATCTGGGAGAAAAGCACATGCCAGGGTTCATGTCATGTGCTGGGCTGCTGGAGCCCGAGGCTACAAAGGTTAAAGAACAAAAAGCAGCAGGACAAAAAGATCTTGGCTTCTTTAGGGCATGGTGAAAAGCAGTAAAATTGTTTAACAGAATTTCACCTCAAAATTGGGTTTAGGTTATGAACTCCAGACAATGGACAAATGTTAAATCAGAAAGACTTTTTCTTTTGTGCTTTCTGTGTTATTCCATTTTTCCGAATGATGGCCTCGTTCTGCTCTGATATTTGATGTCAGCATCATGATATGCGGGTCCAACTAGCCTGAATCCTAGGAACTTTTAATTCTTGGACAGAGCACATCCCTTTCTGCTGGGAGTGCTACTTTGAGTACATATGCAAACTTAAGTTTTGGAGGGTCACCATGTTAAGGGCTTGCCTATGAATGAAACCCACGCAGAAGTTTTCAGAGCCCATTGCAAGGCAAGTCTGTGAGGGAAGCCACTGTTAGCTGACGTGACTGGAGCTCCTAGGCCCAGAGACATCCTGGGTTACTCTGCTACACAGGGCAGTGCATTTTACATTTTGTTAGAGTTGAAGTGCTGGCTGAAACCATCATTTTGTATGAAATAACTTATTTTAGGAGCTTGAAATTTCCATGAATGTTTCAGGTAAAAACTGGTTTGCAATAGTCCCACGGCTTCTGTTAACCATTTCAGAGTTTGAAAAATGGGATATGAGGTGTGGAATTGAATGAATCTAACCATGGAAATGTTCCAGATGCTGATTGATGATTCTGGAGATCAATGCTGGGAAATAAAACAAAATTTCGACCAAGTTTCCTGCATTAGAATGTGTTTGCTGAAAATGAGAAAAATTGGAAGGAGAACAATTTTAGATTTTTATTTCTACTTAATGTAATCTGAAAGAAGAATTAATTTTGAGTTTATATGAAATCTTAATCAGGAGAGGAGTGTTCTGCTATGAAGCATTTTTATTTAACTGGCATTGTGGTTGAGCTAAGCTACCATGTAGTACTAACTCAAAAATTTTGCCTAGTGAATGTGATTGGGTAATGTGGTTACGCGGACTTTGCAACTCACAGTAGATTCAGGAGTGAATTCTTAATCAAGTATATGTTACAGCCTTGGAGATAACTTAATGAATGTCTTTTCTGCTGAATTTCCCAGGCAAAGGCTATAGTGCCCATCTTTCTTTTCCCAGGAAGGTACAAAAGAAGCATGATACATGTATGAGGGGAGTAGACAGAAGAGGATGAGTATAGAATTACTTTGATACACATCAGGATCTCAACTGAGTGGAGGTTCTAAAATCCAGATTGGTATAGGAGAGGTGACAGTTCTCAAATTTCTTTCCATATCAGATCACATCCCCTTTTCAGCTTTCTGTAATAAAGATAAAATAACACACATGGTCTTTAATCTATGTATCAGCACCATTATAAGTATTTTATATATTTATTTGTTTAATATTTACAAAGCCACGAGAGGCAGGTAATTCTATTCTTCTACATTTATAAATGAGGAAGGAGCATGGGAAGGCTAAGTGTCTTGTCCAAATCCATAGAGCTCAGAAGAGGTAGAACAGGAATTTGAACACAGATGGTCTGTTCTTCAAACTCCTTGCTGCTTGAGAGGAGGAAGATGTGCTAATACAACAGGGTAGGTAGAGTGTAAGCGTTCACCTGGGCTCTCTTTTATCAGGAAGTGGGCTACTGAGCCTCTTCAGGTCACGTGGATCAGGAAATGAACATAGGGTCTGATGTGCGGCCCAGATGTATGTTTCTCTCACACAGTTTCTCTTTCTGTCTCTCTCCTCCACCTCACATTTTTTCTCCCTGCTTCCTCTCTTTCCAACTACCACTTTCCTGCCTCATCTTCTCTTAACCATAAGACATATCTGAGCATGCCAGCCTGTCTCATTGTGAATATTTAAGTTGAAAGCAGGAATCCCCCCGCAAGCTTCAAGCAGACAGTGTAGGCATTAAATAACAATTAAGCCTTAACCAAGTATCTGTAGAGATACCTGTTCAGATATGAATTAAAAGGCCATTTGATCCCCCGTCTGCTCATACTCTTTGTGCATAATTATTTGGAAACTAGCTGGGATTGATAATCAATAATTGGCATGGCATAATTTGGGGAGTCTATGTTTTTTAGAGTTAATACCATTGAGGCTGAGGCCGGCGCCGCGGCTCACTAGGCTAATCCTCCGCCTAGCGGCGCCGGCACACCGGGTTCTAGTCCCGGTCGGGGCTCTGGATTCTGTCCCAGTTGCCCCTCTTCCAGGCCAGCTCTCTGCTGTGGCCAGGGAGTGCAGTGGAGGATGGCCCAAGTGCTTGGGCCCTGCACCCCATGGGAGACCAGGAAAAGCACCTGGCTCCTGGCTCCTGCCATCGGATCAGCGCAGTGCACCGGCCGCAGTGCGCCGGCCGCAGTGCGCCGGCCGCGGCGGCCATTGGAGGGTGAACCAACGGCAAAGGAAAACCTTTCTCTCTGTCTCTCTGTCTCTCTCTCTCACTGTCCACTCTGCCTGTCAAAAAACAAAAAAAAAAACATTGAGGCTGTGGCCTAGTGGGAAAAGCCGCTGCCTGTAGTGCTGGCATCCCATATGGGCGCCCGTTCAAATCCCGGCTGCTCCGCTTCCAATCCAGCTCTCTGCTATGGCCTGGGAAAGCAGTAGAAGATGGCTTAAGTCTTTGGGCCCCTACACCTATGTGGGAGTCCCGGAAGAAGCTCCAAGCACCTGGTTTCGGATCGGTGCAGCTCCGGCTGTTGCAGCCATTTGGGGAGTGAATCAGTGGATGGAAGACCTCTCTCTCTGTGCCTCTCCTCTCTCTGTGTAACTCTGACTTTCAAATAAAATAAATAAAAATCTTTAAAAAATAGAATTAATAGCATCAAGCATTATCAAAAACCCACCTGATCTATTTTATTAACTTATATTACATTAATGTTTATTATTAAATATTTATAATATATGAATAGTTATGTACATTGATCAAAAAATATGACTCCAGGTGAATGTGAAAAAGTGTTGGATAGTAGTTCTACTTATGTGTATGCATGGGACAGTGAAGGGTATCTTGATATCTTTCCATTACTTTGCAGCAGTGCCTTACTTGTCAATTAATACAACTTTAAAAAATTGATTTAATTGCCTACTGTTTAGAGAGAGTTGTTAGTGATTCAAAGAGAACTATTTTATATATATTAGACCAGAATAATTAATGCTATGTGTAAAAGTAAAGCAGAAGATAGCTGTGGATAACTGTTCCTGGCATCATCCTCAGAAAGCCTCATGAAAGAAGTTATGGACAACACAGGTCTCCATTCTGCCAAGTGAGCATGAAGCAAGAAAGTGCTGTCTCTGCAGCAGAGAGGAACCCTCACCAGCCGCTCCATCTGCCAGTTCCTTGATCCTGAACGTCCCTGCCTCCAAACTGCTATAGACACATTCGTATGATGTGTAGATAACCCAATCTCATTTTGTTACCACAGCATGAACAAACAAGACCCTCAGTAAGATGGTGATAAAAGGAACTTATTTGGGGATGTGGTTTGTGGTAAGTGACCTGGGGAAGTAGGGTTCTTTCTGCATTGGGTCCTGAAAGGGAGGAATAATTCTGTGATTAAGAATCTTAATAGATTTTACCTTGGAAGCTAGAAAGGTGAGGCTAATGCTGTAAGTGATTCAAAATTATTAAAAAAATCAATCACTCAGCTGGGAGAGGGAAGTACTGACATTTTTTGTTGTTTCTGGTTTTACAGCAACCTGGATTATAACTACACTCAAAGATAATTACAAACTGTTTTTGTTTTTTTGTCTCACCTTCCCGTTCTTAGAGTGGTTTCATCTGATGTTGGTCTGTGCAACTGTTCATATTTGACAGAACACCATGGCCTGCATATGGATGCAAGACCAGCTCTCAGTACCTTTCCTTCAGGGGAGAGCATATAATAAAAAACAAAACTAAGAATAGTTACTATTTGCTCCTAAGAAAATATTTTGGAGTTTGCTGTTTCTTTATCTCTCGATGTTTGAAAATAAATGTTTGCTTCAAAATAATAAAAGAGCTACCATGACTCCAACTTAACAAAAGTGCTCAGCACCTCTTTCCTTTCTTATAGACTCCGGTTCTATATAGTGACATAAACACTCATCCTTTTGTATCCTACAGTGTTCACAGGCAGGAAGACCATTGTCTTAGAAAAACAATGAATACAATATAATCTTCATGAAAAATGTAAAACACTGCATCTCATTGAGGAATTGTGAATGCAGTAGTGTGATATACTAATATTGCAGTATCGTAGTGATACTTTCTGTTTTAGTTTATTTCTTAGTCAATCTCTTCCTTCTGTATATGGGAAAATTGGGAAACCTTTATAGTGAAATTGATTTCATTTCATCACAGCAAAATATAATTTATAATGCCTTTTGGCATTTGCATTAGTTGAAGACAAGTTCATGAATATGTGCGAATCAAGGCTTTATTAAATTACGCTCTAGATTTTTAAAACTCTGTCAAAATTCCATGTTAGGTTGATCTTTAAATTTAAAGAATTTATTAATATATTAGATTCTCAGGGTCATAGAAAATGCATTATAATTACTACAGCACAATTATCTTGCTAACATGGTATCAATACAAAGAGAACAGGTTCAGTGTAGTTCATAGCTACAATCCTTGGAATATAATGATACTTCCTTTCTCCTTCCCTGCCTTCTTCTCACTCTCCATACCCTTCCTTCTTTCTTTCCTCCTTCTTTCTAATTTTCAAGATAACAAATTTTCCACCAAATAAGGAGTTCAACAAGCAAAAAGTAAAAAGACCATAGTTCAGTTAAAATATAATAGGTAAGGGCTATAAATACATATAATAAATTTTAAAATAATCACAGAGCATTAAAACTATAGAAGTGTATCATCTTTAACCATTGATTTGACAAAGATATAAAACAAATTTTGATAAAATATTGTATCTGCAGCAATAATGTTACACACAGGCATTTCTTTCCATTTTGCTGTGTTTGTTTTCTGCCTTTTTTTTCCTTTTTTAATTTTAGCTCCCACATATAAAGTAGAACATGTGGTGTCTCTATTTCTGTGTCTGGCTTATTTCACTCAATATAATATCCTCCAGTTGCATCCATTTTGATGTAAATTATAGAATTTCATTATTTTTACTACCTGAATAATATTCCATTTTGTGTGTGTACATATATATGTATATACACATATATGCATATATATCACATTTTCTTTATCCATTTTTCTGATGATGGACACTAGGACTGACTCTGTATTTCATTTATTGTCACAGTGCCGTTATAAACATGGTGGGGCAGTTATCTCTTTGATACAATGTATTCATGTCTATTGAGTGTATATCCAGACATGGGATTGCTTGATCATATGGTAAATCATTTCTAGTTTTTTAAGAAATCTCTGAGCTGTTTTCCACAATGGCTGCACTAATTTACATTCCCACCAACAATGTATGAGTTCTCCTTTCTCCACATTCTCGCCAGCATTTGTTACTCTGTCTTTTGGATAACACACATTATGACAGGGGTGAGGTGTTATTTCTTTGTGGTTTTGATTTGCATTTCCCTGATGGCTAATGATGTTGAGCATTTTTTTCATATATTTGTTGGCCATTTGAATTTCCTGTTTTGAAAACTAATGTAGTCCTCTGACCATTACTTAACTGATTGGTTTTTTGTTGTTGAAGATTTAAAAGTGCTAATGTATTCTGGATTTAGTCCTTTCTCAGATAGGTAGCAGAAGCTTTTGAGCTTGACATAATCCCATTTGTTTAGTTTTGATTCTGTAGCCTGTGCTTTGGGAGTCTTGTCCAAGAAGTTCCCTACACCAATGTCTTGGATTGTTTTCTTCCAGCAACTTCATAGTCTCAGATCTTAAATTTAGGTCTTTGATCCATCTTGAGTTGACTTTTGTAAATGTGAGAGATATATTTCAAATTTCATTCTTCTACATATATCCATCCAGTTTTGTATCAGACTCATACTTTAAAAGTGTTCTAAATATACTTATTTCCATTTGAAAACTTTTAGCTAGAGTTTTAATTATAAGAAAAATATATTTTTCTATATTTGATCAAGCTAAATAATATGTTTTCATTATTACTAATTTTTAAGATTTCTTCCACTACAGTACTTTAATTTTAGTAGCTTATCAAGGTCAAATTCAGGATGTTTGAAAACCATTATAGTGTACCATAATATATCATTCTCCCATTGAAAATTTATTTAGATATCCATCTGGGATTTTGAGCCTTAAAATCTAAAAAGTAATTCATACAAATGGAATATTATTTGTCACTATGTACAGAAGTAATATAAGTGTTTCCTTAGATGATTATCTGTTCAATAATAGGAATTGGAACACTGTGATTATTATCATGTAATCAATTCAATGTGTGGCAATTTTTCTCCTGATTATAATTAATCTCTTCGCAAGAGTAGTACATAAAATGGTTATCTGATTCCCGGTGACCTGCTGCACTCATAGCACTCAGGGTCTGTGGGTGCAGAAAAATAAATAATTTTATAAGCAAAATGAGCCCTTCATGTTCCAGAGAATCTTCACCTTGTCTAAAATATTTAACTACTTTTTATGTTTAGTGTAATTATTCTTTTTTGTGTAGAGGGTTTTATTTTTTAGTGTGAGCACTAAGTCCTTAATGAAATATTGAATTTCAAGAAGCCTTAAGGGAGAGATTGTGTCTACTGTCTGCTAGTTTACTAGAGTTTCAAGAACAAAACTATTCACAGGTGAATCCTCAGAATATATTCTTTGATTTATTTAGAAGTGGTCTGAGCTATTGCTCAAATTCAGTTTCTGTTTCTATACTTAGAGTCAGCCGTTCAGATGACTGTGTGAAAATTTCTGCCTTATTAAGTTTCTGATACTTTCCTGTGTTGGGGAGTGATTTTTATCTTCTCATCGTAAGTCAAATATGATCCAAGTTTAACTGCGAAAGGCTTAAATTTGTGTATTTTTAGTCTTTCCCTAGGAACACAAATTTTATTATCTTGATTCCCTGCAGTTGGAATTGTAAAGTCATACTGATCCACCCCAATTGCAGACAATATAAGAGTGAGCTCTTCTGAGCCCAGACTAGACCACAGCTCCATGAACAAAGAAATGTTTTTGCTGTTCAGTTTATTTGTATGGTTGTTTTATAGCTTTATTGAAGTATAATAGATGTACAATAAATTTAACCTACCTGAAGTGGATAACTTGTCAATTTTAACATAAGGATACAATCGTGAAATTATCAGCACAATCAAGACAAAAATCATTTCCATTGCTCCCCAAAGTTTTCTCATGTCCATGTGTCATCTCCTTCCTGCCCTCCCTGCCACCCACTGCACAGGATACATTATGCCCCCATTTGAGTAAACCACTGATGTACCTTCTGGTACTACAGATTAGCTAACATTTTCTAAAATTTTATGAGTGAAATCAACTAGTGTGTGATTTGTTGGCTTGGATTTTACACTTAGTTTAATTTTTTCCATATGACAGATTCCAGTATACTGCTCATTTTTTTGTATTGCTAACATTCTATTATATTAGTATACCACAATTTGTTAACCCATTTACCCCTTAGTGTTCATTTTAAATTTTTCTTTATTGTAATAGCTAAGGTGTTCCATTCATGTACATATGTTTTCAGTTCCCTTGGGTAAATAGTTATGAATGAAATAACTGGGTCACATAATAAACAAATGTTTAACTTTTTAGGAACTGAAAAACTTCTTCCCAAAGAAGCTGTACAATTTTCCATTCATACCAATAGTATATGACAATTGCAGCTGCTTCACATCCTTGCCAACCATGGGTGTTATCAGTCTTTTTAAACTTAATTGCAGTAATGTCTCATTATGGTTGCAATTTGCCTACCATAATGAGTAATAACACTGAGCATTTCCTCAAAATGTTTATTTGAAATCCATATCTCTTCTTTCTTCCTAATAATTTAGTTAAGGTTGTTGATCTTCTTATTGACTTTTGAAAATTGTGTATATGTTTTAAAGACAAATACTTGGCCGGCACTGTGGCTCAATAGGCTAATCCTCCGCCTGCGGCGTCGGCACATCGGGTTCTAGTCCTGGTCAGGGCGTCGGATTCTGTCCCGGTTGCCCCTCTTCCAGGCCAGCTCTCTGCTGTGGCCAGGGAGGGCAGTGGAGGATGGCCCAAGTGCTTGGGCCCTGCACCCCTTGGGAGACCAGGAGAGCCATCTGGCTCCTGGCTTTGGATCAGTGTGGTGCGCCAGCCGCAGCGGCCATTGGAGGGTGAACCAATGGTAACGGAAGACCTTTTTCTTTGTCTGTCTCTCTCTCACTGTCCACTCTGCCTGTCAAAAAAAAAAAAAAAAAAAGACAAATACTTTGTCAAGGATGTGATTTCTATATTTTGTTCTGTAAATTTTATTTTAAAAATGTTTATCTTTGGGTAAATAATTCATTTGGAGTAAATTTTTTTTAAGTTGTAAGGTGTGAATCAAAGCTCCTATCTTTCCTACTGTTATTCCTGCAAAAGGCTGTTCTTTCCCTATTGAATTACCTTGTCACCTTTGTCAACTTTGGCCATATATATGTAGGTCTATTTCCAGATACATTCATCTACCTTTCCATCTTTGTATCAATATCATACTGTTTTAATGACCTTACAATAACTCTTGGAATTATGTATTTAAGTATCTAAATTTGTTTTAAATTAATTGGTTTTATATATGAAATTTATTTCTGTATTACTTTTACAACTGGCATGTCAATTTCTATAAAAATACAGTATGTTCAGATTTTTTTTTGGAGAATAGAAATTGCTTTGTTTTAGAGTTCAATGGGAGAATTGATATCTTAATAGTTCTGAGCTTTCCAATCCTGAATATGACATGTCTCATTAAATTTTTTTATTGAATTCATCTGACTTTTGATATGGACTGAATGTCTGTGCCCTTCCCTCCTCACCCCAATTTATCTGTCAAGTCCCTTATCCTCAAAATGATAGTATTTGGAAGTAGGGCATTTGGGAGGTAATTAGGTTTAGGTGAGGTCATGAAAGAAAAGCCTCCATGAAGGGATTAGTACTTTAAAGAAGAAGAAGATGCTGTAGCCCTATTTTTTTTCCCACCATTTGAGGATACAGAAAGCTGACTGCAATCTTTACAGGGCCAAAAAACCAGGAACTGAATCATCTGGCATCTTGATCTTGGACTTCCCAGTTTGCATAACTGTGAGAAATAAACTTCTGCTGTTTATGTCACCCAGTTTATGGTATTTTATAACAGTAGCACAAACTGGCTAAATAACTCTCTCTCAATATTTTGTAGTTTTCAGTATAAAGTTCTTGCTGGTTTTTGACAAACAGATTTTGTAATTTGATGCTCTTTTAAATGGTATTAAATTTCAAATTCAGGTTGTTTGTCATTACTAAATACTATTCCCTTGCATCACTCATCCATGAAGCATACATTCCAA